CTGAAGGCTTAAAGAGTAGATTATCATTCAATTTAGTGTGACTTCTGGTGAAGGCTCTCTGTCGTTTTGCTATCTTTCAAATTCTTCAAGTCCTTCAGCGCAACTCATATCGCCGTCAGATGTATCCTGAAAATTACTTACTGCAAGCGGTATAACGTTTCAAGCCCACATCTATTAGCGCACCACACAAGGCTCGACAAAGCTGTAGGTCCGTGTTGCATGGATGTCTGAAATGCCAGTTCTGTGCCGTTCATTTGTTGTGCCAAACCCAAGCGAGTAAAACCGTACTCGATTGTTTTATGTAGGAAGCAGAGGATGGGAAAGAAAGTCGTCTGTTGTAGAGGCGAACTTATTGGAGTGGTGGGGATCAGCTGGGGACTAATGTCCCTTAAGGATTACAGATGCTCGGTAGGAATATCAAATGGGAACTGGTGAATTTTACCCGATTGTTTCGAATAAAAAAGCTAATTACGCTGGTTAGGCCGCACAGTTTGCACGTTCTGTCTGTTACAGTTTATTTACCTCAGCCATGTAGAGGAAATTACCACCAAAAGGCGTTCGGTCGGCAACGTAGAAGGCAAGAAGTTTCAACCGGGAATTTCAATCAACCTGCGGTCTCACCGGATATGAATGCCTGAACCAAGGATAGTAATTATGGCACCGTAAAACAATACCCAATCACGGTCAGCGTTGCCCTTGCACCAAGACTGAGCTAATCTGTCCAAGCTGTCTGTGTGCGACGATTCTACTGGGCCGTTGCCACCAATGTGTTCCCTTTTGATTCTCCACATTATAGGTGTGAGAAGTCACCACATCTTAGCCAGTGATTCTTTGGTACACGATCTGCTACTGAAAAACTAAGTGCCGGTCAACAGTTACTTTAGACATCCGAACACCCAACATACAAGGTAAACAGCCTAACAGACAATTTACGTTCCGGAGAACTTTGGCGTGTCCACTACAGAACAGCTACCACCCAGAAAAAGAATGTATCAGCAATTACTAGGTCCAAAGAGGATAGAGAATACAGAAGACTTACCTCTAGAACGAAGTACCATGCAGCGAGATACAAAGCAACCAACCCGGCAATCGTTAAGTCAAACATGGACGATTTCAGTCTACAAAGAAATAAGCATTGGGATCGAGAGTGGAGTAAAGCCAGCTTCGGCACAGTCTCAGAATTCGGAGTTCAAAAGCGGGGCAATGGAACGTAAGTTTAGAAAA